GGGGGGGGGGGGGGGGGAGAGAGAGAGAGACAGAGGGGGATGGAGAGAGAGAGAGAGAAAGAGAGACCAAGAGCGACAGAGAGAGAGAGAGAGAGAGAGAGAGAGAGAGAGAGAGAGAGATATGGAGAGACAGAACGAGAGACAGAGAGGATGGACAGAAGGAAGGAAGGAAAGAGAGAGAGAGAGAAAGAATTCTGATGCCAGATGCGGTGGCTCACACCTATAATCCCAGCACTTTGGGGAGGTGAGGCAAGAGGACTGCTTGAGGCTGGGAGTTTGAGACCAGCCTGGAAAACACAGCGAGACCCGCCTCTACAAAAAAAGAGAAATAAGTTAGCTGGGCGTGGTGGCGCTCACCTGTAGTCCCTGCTCCTGGAAGACTGAGCCAAGAGGATGACTTAAGCCCGGGAGGATGAGGCTGGGGCGAGCCATGCTTGGGCCACCGCCCTCCAGCCTGGTTCACCTGGAGTGAGATGGTGACTCAAAACCAAACCAAACCAAAAAGTAATCCCTGCAGTCGAGTTGCATTGACACATCTCCCCTTTCTAAAGGCTTCCAGAGCGATTTGCATTTTTGCAAGTCTTCCCGGGTTTTGCCTCACCAGCACATTTTTGTTGCTTTTTTTAATGGAAAATGTTTCAACAACACACAAAGAGAGACGCGCGTGATGAGACAAGCGTGACCTAGAAAAACTCCGGGGTGAGAGCAGCGGGGCCCAAGGCGAAATCGGAGGGAGTGACCAGTGGGGGGGGAGGACCGGCGCCCAGAGGGCAGGCAAGCTGGGAAACAGAGGAGGAGGCGGGCGCCTCACTCCCACGGGTGCTTTTGCCCAAAATGTAGATGGATTTACTTAACTTATTTATTTGTTTACTTATTTATTTTTATAGAAATAGAGACGGGGTCTCGCTATGTTGCCCAGGCTGGTCTTAAACTCCCGGGCTCAAGCAATCCTCCTGCCCTGACCTTCCTAAAGGCTGGGATTACAGGCGTGAGCCCCCGTGCCCAGCCTGAAAGGTATATACATATTTTGATTTGCTTTTGTTTTGGGAGTGTTCCTGTAAAGGACGCAGGTTTTTTTGTTTGTTTTTTGTTTTGGGGGGGGTTGAGTTGGAGTCTCACTGTGCCCAGGCCGGAGTGTGGACCTGCTGGGCTCCAGCGGTCCTTCCGCCTCAGCCTTCCTAGGAGCCAGAGCTACAGGCACGTGCTACCACACCCGGCTAATGTTTTTTATTTATTGTAGAGATGAGGTCTCGCAAATTGCCCAGGCTGGTCTTGAACCCAAGGATTCAGGCAATCTACTTGCCTCGGCCTCCCAAAGTGTTGAGATGACAGGCTAAGCCACCGAGCCCGGCCAAGGATGCAGTTGTTTTTTTTTTTTTTTGAGTTGG